AGGTGAACTTCAGCAATTTATTTGCGCTTCCAACTGGATGCGCGATAGTTTGGTCGATTACGCCCGTACTATACAGCCACTGCAGAAGTGTTTGGATCGAGCTCTGGAAGGAAAACGTAAGACTGAGCGAATTGCGTCTGGGATCTCGCTCCAGCTGAGCAAGAACGAACTAATAAGTTTCGACCAAGTGAAGATGCTGCTGACTAATACAGCCATGCTGGCTCACCCCAAGGACAATGCGACTTTTTCTCTGTTCGGTGATGCATCTGACGTTGGCTGTTCGGCTATTATGACTCAAGTTGAGTCCTCGGATCAAGCCAAAAGCGTCACTGAGCAGAAGCATGAGCTTTTGACTTGCAAAGGAGGCACATTCACTGGCACAAAGCTGCACTGGTCCGTTACTGGGAAAGAGGCTTATCCTATAGTTTCTGCCTGTGGTGACCTCTACTATTTGCTGATGCGGCCTGATGGCTTCAAGATTTTTTGTGGTCACCGCAATTTGATTTACATGTTCGCTCCCGATCCAGAATTGAAGAAGCATGTGAGGGGTAAACTATTACGGTGGGCACTTAAACTGGGCGAATACCGGTATATAATCGTTCACATCCCAGGTGAGGAGAATGTCTGGGCGGATTTAGTTTCACGTTGGGGCGGAATGGAACCAGTGACGGTCACACCGTTCAAGAGAGTGACTCGACTGCAGACAACGTTGAATCGACAGCCACTACTGAGACCCCTTGATCAAGACTCTTTCATCTGGCCTACCACGACTGAGATAGCTACTGTACAGAGATCACATTCTCGCGACAAGCCTAAGAATGGTACCGAAGACAGTAGTGGTATATACAGATCCAAAGGAAAAATTTGGATTCCACCATCGGCAAGCGACCTCATACAAAGGCTATTCATTAGCTCTCACTGTGGATCGCAAAGTCATCGTGGAGAGGCAGGAATGCTGAACCACATCAAGAGAATCATTACGTTCAAGGACATGGTGCATAGAGCAAGACGGCTTTTGAGGAGCTGTCTACTTTGTCATCATGTAAAAGGTGGGGGAGTGATACCACATCCGTGGGGGCTCACTATCGTGCAGCCAAACGAAACGAAGCTATCAACTGGGATTTCTTGTTTTTGGGTGAAAGTTTCGGGAACAGTAAATACGTGCTCATTATAAAAGACAACTTCAGTCATTTCTGCGAGCTGGTGCCCTGTGACTCACCGGTTAGTGCAGTCGCTGCAGAAGCGATGCTATGGTGGCATAGCCGTTTCGGAGTACCTACGACATGGATCAGTGACAGT